ATAAATAAATAAATAAATAAATAAACACCATTAGAACAAATCTCTCTATTCATTAAGAGAATGTAACTATATATCTATCACAACCACTTTGAATACACAGATACAAAATGGACATTCATCTGTATCCCCTTTTTTGTTTAGTTCCATTATTTGAGTATTATAGGTATGTTAATTCAGCAAAATATTCTAAAAGAGTCCAGTAGTCCATAATAGTATTGGGTCTTCTTCTTGACTGGTCAGAAATTGTTGACCTGATAAGATTTTTTTAGATAATTAGATAACTCCATGCTATTACTGTTGAATACTGTTCTATTGAGGTATAATTGTTACAGTTAGTATTTACTGTATCTGAATATTTTGTTTATCTTAGTGTTTATAGTAGAATTTTAGATCTCTTTTCTATGATTAAAGGTGATTCAGGACTGGGGAGATAGTTCAAAGGCATAAACACTTTCCTGGCAAGCACAAGGTCCTGAGTTTGATCCCCAGTACTGGAAAAAAAACCCAAAATGGTGATACATTACTGATTCTTCTGTCAATATCTAGTTTGTCTTTGATTCTATTAATGTTGCTGATTTTATTGCTATTACTGAGATGGCACAGTTGTTGCTATTAATTGGTTTTCTCTTTATGCCCATGTCTGGATTGCCATTGTATCATTAATGATCCTGTGGCTTGTTCCTGAAGAATTTGATGCTGAGTCAAATACTCCTCAGCATCCCATCCCAAACGAACAGATGCGGTTGGGCCTTCAGACAGAGGCAAAGGCCTGTGGTTAGCAATGCCCAGGGTGCGTAACTGACAAGCAGGCACTAACTAAAGTCATCTCCATGCCAGCAAAGTAGACTTCAAATATTATAACCCCACAAAACTCAGTACCACCCCTCAAAAGGAAAACCAAACATGCGAAGACAAGGCAATAAAATGCCTCCCCAAACTCCCAGCTTCCCTGAACTGATCCAAAAGGCATTTAAGGGGAGGAAATCAAAGACCACACAGTTGAATTTTCCAAAAGGATACTGGAAGACAAAAAAAGGACTTAATAAACAAATGATTTGCAACTTTACAGAAGATAACAAGAGATAGTTGAGCTGAGTTGAACAAAATGATACAAAGTATGAATGACCAGTTTAGCCGAGTTAAGAGTCCACAAAAAGGTACCAAAGAAAACTTCAGAGGATAAAAAATTATCGAAATGTGAGCGGTGGAAGCAAGCAGTGTGAGGATACAGTGTCAGAAATGAAAATAGGGCAGCTTTCCGTGGCTCACCCAGTGAGGATGTGGCTCAGATGATTTCTGTGATGTGATGTTTCACTGACATAATGCTTCACTATTTGTGTGTGTCCCCGATGGATCTACAGTTTGGAGGCATTGCCTTCAAGCGCAGAGAAAGTCAAAGCAGGCCCCCAGTCACCTCGAATTGGAAGGTGAAACATGGAAATACCATGTTTCCTCAATGACTTTCCCATTTCTAGTTCCAGCCTAATAGAAAAATAGAAGTAATTTAAAGTAGCAAGCCATGGGAGCTTAGCATGCAGAAATATTTAGCGTGCCTTTCCTCTCTTTCTCTTTCTCAAGGGCTGGGCACAGACGTGTTTTCCCCCCTATTGATTTGTCATTGCTAGCTCTTATTTCTTTCTTTCTTTGTTGTTTTGTGACAAGGTCTCACTGTGTAGCCCAGGGTGGCCTGAAACGCACAGTAATCCTCCTGCTTCAGTTTAGAGTCTCAAGTGCTGGGATTATAGGTGTGTGCCACCATGCCTGGCTGCTAGCTTATATTTATAATCTCTAGATAATTGTTATAACCTATGCAACTGTCCCCATTTTTGTAACTAAAACAGCTATTTTGTTATATAACTCTGTACGTTTCTGTTATAACCTATGTGATTGACTCCATTTTGTAACCAGAATAGCCATTCAATTATACACCTCTGTATGTTTCCACTGTAACTTTATTAACGAGGACTGTTTGGCATAAGCTGACAACTTAGACTTCATCTTTGTGGCTCAAGCCCTCCGTCTGGTCTCTGAACACAGTTTTGTTAATGTTCAAAATATTCCTTTGTTCTGAGCCACAGATTGTTAAAAGCAGTCTACACAAAGTTTCCTGTGACCAGCCTCATATCCTAAGATAACTTTCTGTTCCAAGGACAAGTCCTTGTTCACAATGTTTCTTGTGATCAGTCCCATATCTTAAGAACTCTCTGTTCTAAGGATAACTCCCCGTTCCCAAAATTATCTCGATACCTTTCTGTGACATCCTGTGATCAACACCATGCCATAAGAATTATTTGTTCCTAAAATTGTAACCGCATGTTAAAAGAATGTAACCTGTTTCCCGTAAGTGGACGCTGACCCCGGTGCTGCATTCCCTACGTGCCGCCGCTGAGCTCAGCTAAATAAAGCGCTTTCTTGTTTTTTAAGTTGAGTCTGATTTTTGATTTCTGAGTTACAACAATAATTTATAGTAGAAGCCACATTTAAAAAGCCAGCCCAAACTCCTGAAGGAAAGAGCAGTAGTCAAGCAAGGGATGAATCACAGGGAGGAGACCAAAGTGCCCAACTTCCCTGGGAAGATTTTGGTGAAGAGTTTGCCCAGAGAATCACTAGGCAATTGGCTCCAAGAGCCATAAAACATCTATTATTTGACCATAATTATGTGAAATAAAGAACCAAAAAGAAATACAAATTTTTACCCAACAATAACCTTGTATTACGA